CCATCCATCCATCCATCCATAAATCATCTATGCATCCATCCATCCATGCATCCATCTATCCATCCATCCATCCATCCATGCATCCATCCATCCATGCATCCATCCATCCATGCATCCATCCATCCATGCATCCAACCATCAATCATCCATGCATCCATCTATCCATGCATGCATGCATTCATCCATCCATCCATGCATCCATCCATCCATCCATCCATCCATCCATCAATCCATGCATCCATCCATCCATCCATCCATCCATCCATCCATCCATCCATCCATCCATCCCTTTCTTTCCTCTTCCAACTCTTCAGGAACTTCAGGGTGTTCCCAGACCTGCTGAGAGACCTTGTCTCTCGGTCATGTCCCAGGGGTCTCCCTCCAGGTGGACATGTCCAGAGAACCTCGTCCAGGGCTCATCTTCACCAGATGAACCAGCTCCACATCATGGCCACAGCTGAGGGTAGGAACCAACAGGTCAACAGAGGAGCAACATGGCTGGAAGTGATGAAGAACAAAGTGAGGAGTTTCCCTCCTTCAGGGAGGAAAGCATCATTTAAAGCAGAGACAACCTGCAGCAATAAAACTTTATTATGTCCTTAAGAGACGACAGGAGACACATAAAACAAGAGAAACCAGCTGCTGGTTCTGAGCCTGGCCTTCATCTCATTCACACTTTATTTATCACACCTGGACCTGAACATCCAAACAGTTTTATTTTCAGCTTTACTCCAACATTAAAGTCCACAAAACTCACACTGTACTCAAAGTACAGTAACAAAATATTTGTACTTAGTTACTTTACAACTCTGAATACAACATATAAAGAACTAATTTCTTCTGACCAATTAAGTAAATAAACAAACACACAATAGTTTAAACTGTTTATTAAATATTGCATAATACCAAAGTCACAGCAGTGTATAGTATCTTTATTTTAATATTGTCAGTGGAACATCACTGCAAATAGAAGCAAACAAACCAAACCTGTTGCAGGTTGTGCGTCTTTAACTAGTCCGCTCTGATTACTGATCGTTAACGTGGGTCACACTCCGGTGCACAGACAAGGACGGCTTTTAGTAAAATCAGCGTGACGAGACTCGGACTGACGGGAGAGAAAATAAAAACATGAAATAATGTCAGGAATACGCTTTGAAAAAATAAAACGAGGCACGTTTCTGAATCTAAGATTGCGATTCTGACAAAAAGGCAGTTCGTTCTGTGCTTCCCCTCAGATCCTCCTGGAGAAAAATAATCCGCCGCGAGAGACAGAGATGACCCTGAAGCTCGCAGCCTATTACCTATTTTACATATTTACAATCCTTCATCCTCGTTCTGCAGTATTTGTACATATCGGTGTAAAACGGCCTGCGATACATTCATATATTCATACGTCCCTTCATGGAGCGCAAAAACACTCTAAAGTTAGTCGACTCATTATTTACTCATGACGTGGCGCATTTTCCTCCTCTGCAGAGAAACATTTCTAAAGAGTTCATATTTAACACCATGCAGGTCAACACGTGTTTACAGACTAATACAGCCAGCAGTGGAGGCTTCTGTGGTCAAAATGAAATAAAACAATAAAATAAATTCAGTGCTGAGCAGGAAACTCCACAGCCTGACCTTTGTTGTGCTGAGAAAATACTCTTCAGGTGATGTTGGCAAACAGACCGCAAACAACCAGAGGACAAAACACTGATTGTTCGATGTTTGGTTAAAAATAAATAAGATGTGAAAATAAAACAATCAGCTGATCGTCCCTCCACAGCAAGAAACACAGATTACAGATAAATATATTTTCTCCCAATTCGGTTTTAACAAAAACCCTGCAGTACTCGAGTTTCTCCACTAGGTGGCGAGAACGTCCTCATTAACAACATCAAAACACAAAGAAACAAAAAAACATGCTCAGCTTGGCTACAAATTCTCCCAAAACTTGTTCAATCTGATGCTTTTTGTAATTAAAGCGGCGTCTTGTCGGGCTGCAACTGTTGGCAAGTTAAGGTTGTGAAAAAAGTGAATTAAAATCCTGAGCCGTCCAGCTGGGTTTTGCGAAGCCAATTAAAAAATGTTGCCTGTTTTTGTGAGCACAGCTTGTGAAACTGGATTCTAGGCTGCACACATCAACCCAGCAAGAAGGTCCTGGTGCTAAACATGTAAAGAAAAGTTAGCGGAAGCTAACGCTAACAGTTATACCGGAACTAGTTTTTAGTTTAGCAGATTAGCATTTTTCACTAACTACAAAATCTGTTGGGAGACAAATTATCTCCTGCTAAATCCTACTTTAAGAATGCTAACAGCTAACTAACAAGCTAACATTAACAGGCCACTCTCACCAGTCTTCAGTTTTAGCAGTTAGCGACAAGCAGCAAGAAATTCCTGACACTAAACATGTAAAATGAAAAATAAAAATAGCGCAAGCTAGCATTAACAGTTATAGCTGACCTAGTTTTTCGTTTAGCAGATTAGCTTTTTCACTAACTCCAAAATCTGTTGGGAGACAAATTATGTTTCGCTAAATCCAACTTTAAGTCCGCTAACAGCTAACTAACAAGCTAACATCAACAGGTTTCTGTCAGTCCCACCGGTCTTTAGCTGGAAGGAGACAAAGATGCAAGCTGTAGAATATTAGCGGTTAGTGATTACCTGTTAGTTTTAGCTTCTGCTAATTTTACACGTTTAGCACTAGCTTTTGCTAATCCTTTTTTACATGTTTCAAAGTTTAGCATTAGCAAATCCATATTTTTAGTTAGCGGATTATGAGCTGGTGAAGCTCACAGTTTGGTTAGCTGTGCCCAACACARCTCGTTACAAACGAAGAAAATTTTAAGATTTATCATCCTTGTAGCTGCACCAAAAATCAAGCGATAAGACTCCAAGTTTCTGTGATTCATGCAGGGAAACCGAGAACCTCCGTCAACGTTCTGAGACATTTCAGACTCTTAACGAACACTGTTAGCCTGCTGGTCGCCACCAGTTGCAGCCCGGTGGCTGTGCAAAACATATCAGCACACAATTGAAGTTTAATAGCAACAGGATGAGTTTGAACCGAGGCAGACACAGAAAAAAAAAGTTTTTTTTGTATCTTGCAGGGGAAAATTTAAAGGCTGCTTTGTTTCTCCAAAACTCAGTATTTCAAGCCAACAGGGGATACACCAAACACTGAGWTTTTAAGTCTCAGTGCAAAAACAGCAGAAAACTCTTCTGAATAGTGGAGTTTATAAAGCAGCTACAACACGACAGACAAGACAACACAGACTTTTTAAATTGGGGAACAAACAGAGCTTCTCAGACACTGAAGATCAGAGTTGCACAAACCAGGTATTTCTTCAGCTTTTTGGCCTGTATTACTACAGAGACATGTTAAAACAAGCACGCTATCTGCAAACACTGACAGCTCAGCTCAGAGCAAACATGCAGACAGATGACACTGATGAAAACAAGACATGACTGGGAGGTGGGGGCAGAAAAAGCAAAGAAAAGCTGAGTCCGACATGTGTTACACAATCTGCAGGAAGCTGCAGGAAGACGCCTCTTTAAGGTCAGAGTTCAAAAAGCTGAATAAGTGGAGTAAATCCTGCCACCGCCTCTGTTTTACAGGCTGAGGGTGAAAATATTGACAAGGTTTTTATGATCCAGTTTGGTTACTGATCCTACTCACTTTACAGGGCTGCTAAAGGAAAATACATTGGCACATTTGGAAGGCCTCTTAAAGTTTCTCCAGGCTGTTATATTTATACATACGTACACATTAAGGGTGTAACGGTACACATTTACTTTACCATTAAACGTATCAGCTGTTACGGCTCTGTTACACCATCTCACTTCTTCAACACAGAAATGGTGAAAAAGCATCCCAGGTATTTATAAATAAGGCCACAGAAAAGTAATTTGCTCTTGTTACTAAAGTYARGCATGGAGTTCCTCAGGGTTGAGTACTCAGACCACTACTCTTTACTTTATGTATACTTCCATTATCCAATAGAATGGTTTAAATTTACAATGTTATGCTGATGATACTCAGCATATTTACAATAGGAACTGGATTTGAGTTTATATCTGAATTGGATTCATGATTTAGACATGATGACATTTGTCAAAAATTGGCACAATATGAAAAACCTAAATTGAATTTTAGCGAGTCGTGCACAAGGTAAGATTTACCATAAAAATGAGCAAAATAAGATATTTTTCTACAGTCTTATTGATAGAATTTCTGTTGTGGGCGCAGCTAACCACAAAGTTAGCCTTGCTAACTGCCAATCTGCTAACTAAAAAAAGTTATCATATTAAATGCTAAACCACTCAACAGGTAAAAACAAATTATTGGATGCTAACGCAAAAAATGTTCATCTGCTAAATAAAAAGTTAGTTCCACTACTGGCTGTTAGCGGATTAGCGGAACTGTTCAGTTCAGTTCAATTCAGTTCAATTCAATTCAAAAATACTTTATTGATCCCAAAGGGAAATTAGATATGTTGTTCCCACCACTGTTGAATTTAATTTGCAAATCGTACAGATATATCTTTCTTATGTTTATTAAATCTAATTAATTTGGACCAAACTTGACTAAAAAACAAACAAAAAAAAAACATGAGGCTGTTCTGAAACAAATGGGAAAATCTTCCTTCTAGCTTTGCTTTTGAAAAGAGTGCTTTAGAACAGGGGTTCTCAAGCTATTTAGGCCTGGGGACCCCTTACAAGGGCAAAAAAATTCCAGGTGCCCCCTCATAAACCCCATGCTGTTTTAAAAGATAATTTGTTGTCATTTCAACCCCTAAGTGCCATGGGAATATATATTTTTATTAAGTTTAGTATATTTGTTTTATTAGTTCATTGTTCTCCATGCATTTTTAAAAGTAAAAACCAAATTAACAATTTAGTGAAATTTTTTGAGGACCCCCATAATACCTCTCGCGGACCCCAGTTTGAGAACCTCTGCTTTGACTTCCTCTAAATATTTCTGTCATGTCATTTAGCAAAAAGCACTTGTATATATAAAACGGCTTAGCTCTAGGTGTGGGAGGTGACTAACATCTGATTACACCAAAAGTTGACATTTTTACTATGACGGTTTGGTAAAAACGTACCGTTACACCCGTAATTACAGACATCTTGATAAATAAAAAATGGTTAAAATCTCAGAATGTTTTATCAGATTCTAACACTTTGCTGTTATCTTTCACTATAAATTATAGTTGTTTCATATTGTTAGTCAGGATGTTCCTAAAAACCCCAACAGGAAGTTAAATTTAACTACGCCTGTCCTGGTGGCGGCCACTCGCCACAACAATCAAACAAGCTCAGTATACGTTCTCATTGAAAGTTTTAAAGGATAAATTTACAGTTTCTGATAATGAGTATGGGTAAACACAGTTTTGCTTCACTCTTATGAGCCGTGCACCCGGCACACGTGTGTTAGCTGAACAGCTAACATTCGGCTTCTTCATGTGACCATGCTAACAACTGCAGAACCGTATTTGCATAGAAAAACAAGGCAATACTGAAGCGGTATCTAAAGCATCCAGATTACACAAGTTAAAAAACCTGTAATGCTCGTCTAAAGACACACCGAGTCCACGAGGAATAAAAATAAAATGTAAACAGACTGGTTTCTGAAGGGGACTTTTATCTTTTAAAGTTTGGATCCACTCATCAAAGGCACAAATGTCAAAATAATTTAATTAAAAATCTCTGAACCACTTTCTTCAGAGGTGGAAGGATGGTTTAACTTACTAAACTTTAATTTAATAGATTAAAAGATTGAATTTATTGATGGTCAAGAATAGAATACGTCTTTTCTTAAACAGCCTAATGGGTGGTGCTGTAGGTTTTTCAAGGTAATAAAGAAAATTAGCGGAAGCTAACGCTAAACAGCTAACAAAAGTACAAATTAAAGGAAGCTAACACTAAGCATATAAATAAGTAAAAATTAACACAACAGCTAATCCCAAACATACACATTGATGTTAGTTTGTTAGTTAGCTTTTAGCGGACCAATTAGCTTCTGCTAAGTTAGGCTTTGCCATCTTTAGGTCTGCTAACAGCTAACTAATAAGCTAACATCAACAGGTTTGTGTTAGTCCCAGGTGTCTTCAGCTAAAATGACAAAGATGCAGATTGAGTGACAGTCCTCTTAGCAGTTAGCAATGAGCTTCCACTAATTTTGACTTGTTTAGCATTAGCTTCTGCTGATATTTTTATTTTTACATGTTTAGYGTTAGCAAAGCTATATTTTTAGTTAGAAAATGATGAGTTCAAGCTACCATTTTGGTTAACTCACTAACTTCAGATATAGCTTCACTAACGCTAAACCGCTAAACATATAAAAAATAAATAAAATTAGTGGAAGCTAATGCTAACAGCAAATCACTAACCGGTAATACGACTGTCAGTTTGCGTCGCACATCTTCATCTCCTTCGAACTAAAGACTGGTGGGACTGACGCAAACCTGTCGATGTTAGCATGTTAGTTAGCTGTTAGCAAACTTAAAGTTGACAAAACCTAATTTAGCAGGAGCTAATTTGTCATTTTTCTAAGTTAATGAAAAAAGCTAATCCGCTAAACGAAAAATATGTTCCTCTATTAGCTATTAGCTGGTTAGCGGAAGCATGCCCACCATTACTAACCAGTTCAAATGGTCAAACATCAACCAGAAATCTGCCAGAACCATTTTAACTGAGACAAAAGAACTTATTGACGTTTAGTTAAATATTAGTGGGGGTGTTTGATGTTGAATCCGTTAACCCTGAGAAATAAAGTCGTTCTAAAATTAATCTGACGTTAGCGCTCATGGTGAGTGGATGGAAACGTCTGAAGACTCAAGAAGAAACAATCCCAACAACAAACTAAAGCTAAAAACTCCACCCAAGTCCACTTCAGGTAATAAAACCCGGTTCTGGGATCCGTTTGTCCGCCTCCAGGCTGCTACATAAACACTCGTGTTCTACAGATTGATTCGACGGAAGCTATGGATTGTGCAACACAAGTTAGTCCAGGTGATTTCTTAAATTTTTCCACACGTGGAGATGATGAGTTCTGTCAGAAAGTGATCCATGTGGTCTCCCCGGTCCAAAAGGGTCGCTTCCCCAAAACAAAAAATACATCTGCCGGGTCAGATCCAACCTGCAGCAGTTAGTTAGGACTTCCCGATCTCGACAGGCGGGTCCGGTTTCTGGGTCCGGTTCGGCTACAGCTTCACCTCCTTCACGTAGTTCCCAGGAAACGTCCCAAACTGCTTCGTCCTCTTCGACGTACCTGTGGAGACAAAAACACTGAGTGAGAAGAGTTAAAAGCAGAACCCGGGACCGGTCCGGTCTGACCAGCAGGACTCACCGACAAACCAGCCGTCGTCGCACTTCTCCATGACGCTGACCATGTCCCCCTCCTGCAGCTCCAGCTCGTCGTCGTTCTGAGGCACGTAGCTGTACAGGGCCTGGAAACTGGACCGGATCCAGAACACACAAAGATCAGACAGGAAGAGTTCAGGTAGAGGTTCTGAAGGTTCTGAAGTGCTGGAACCAGACGGCTGCCCTCGTCTGGATTTATTCTATATTTTCTCTGATTCAGACTCAGTCTGAGTCCTTTAGTCCCACATCACGGTGCTGCCACCACCGTGCCCGACTGTCCTCAGGTCTGAAAGGTTCACCTCCGCTACTACAGAYGTCCCTCATGTCTCTGTGTCCAAACAGATCAGTTTTTGTCCCATCTGTCCATCAGATTCAGTCCAGATTAAAGGAGGAGGACATTCTTTCCTGGTTGTCTCAGTCCAGGGTGATCAAAAACTGTCTTTACTGGTGGACAGAAACTACTGTATGGTAGACAGGGACCCTGATGGACAGAGACAAAGGACAGGGACACAAATGGAAGACGACACTGGTGGACAAAGACACTGRTGGACAAAGACACTGGTGAACAGGGACCATAGTAAACAGGGACTATCGTGGACAGAGAGACTGAGGACAGACTCTCCAGTGGACAGTGACACTAGAGGATAGAGACTCTGATGTACAGAGACTGTGGTAGACAGGGATTCTGGAAGACAGGGACACTAGTGAATAGGGACACAGGTGGACAGATTCCGTAGTGAACAGGGACATTTGTGGACAGGGACATTGATTTTCCTGCAGGTTCCAGTTTTGTCAGACTTGAGTCTCTATGGTTTCTAGTTCTGTCCATCAGAAGGGGACAGTTCTTCTCTGGTTCTGTCCATCAGAAGTGGACAGTTCTT